CTGTCCGGCCTCACTCCCCTGAGACAAGGACAAGCATGACACGAAGCCCATCTTCCCGGCTGCAGCGGCCAAGGCATGCCCCTTCAACATGGAACACCATGAGTGCGGCCTGCCCTGCCCCAACACCTGCTCCAACCTCGAGCGTGCCCAGCTGTGTGAGGACCACTGCGTCAGTGGCTGCTTCTGTCCCCAGGGTGAGACAGCACCCCCTGACTCCCCTCAACAAACAGAAACAGCCTGGGTGCCCGGAGGCTGGTGTGGTCTGCACCCCCCGTGGCCCGAGGTATTCTGGGTCTCTAGGGTGCAAGGACACAGACCAGCCCCTCTTGGGCTGCAGGGGCTGGGCACAGCCCTAGTGCCCAGCCTCACACTTCCTGGTCCCACAGGGATGGTGTTTGATGACATAAGCCAGAACGGCTGTGTCCCCGTGGCCCAGTGCTCGTGTGTGTACAACGGGTTCTCCTACCCACCTGGTGCCATCTACTCTACTGACTGCACCAACTGGTAGGTCCCGGGGCTCAGCCCTCAATCCTGGGTAAGGCTGGGAGGGCCCCAGGGGCTGTGGTTCAGGTGCCAGGTCCTTGTTTCCCACAGGGGAGGCCGGGTGCCAGCAGTGGGGGCTCCCTGAAGCCACATCCCACATGGAATCTCTCTCTCCTCAGCACCTGCTCCGGGGGCCGCTGGAGCTGCCAGGAGACCCCGTGCCCCGGCACCTGCTCAGTGCTGGGGGGTGCCCACTTCTCCACCTTCGATGAGAAGCAGTACACAGTGCATGGGGACTGCAACTACGTGCTGGCCAAGGTACCGCTACCCATCCAGGCATGGCCAGTGTTCTCAGTGCCCGTGCCCAGCCCTGCCCAGCCGAGCGTGACCCAGCCAGGCTGGCTAGTGATGGCTTTGTGTCACTGCCGGGCTTTCCCCATGCCAGGCCCCATGGGCTCACTCAGTCTGTGACCCTGGTCAGTGCCCTGATCTTTGTGCTTTGGATTTTGTTTTTGGTGTTGTTCTTAAGTTAACACACTTTATTTTTCAGAGGACTTTCAGGGTTTAAGAAAAACTGCACAGAAAGTGTGGAGAATCCCCAAAGCCCCTGCTCTGTCAGTTTCCCCACTGTAACATGTAGCATCCCTGCAACATACACTGTCACAACTGATAACCCCACGTGGATACGTTGTTACTGGTTGGAGTCCAGTGTCCTGTGTGCTATAGTCCTGTGAGTCTGACAAATGCACAGTGTCATACGTCCACCACTGTAGGGTCCTGCAGGATACATACCTTCACGGCCCTAAAAATTCTCTGTGCCCTTGTCCATCCCTCCTTCTCTCCAGAAACCACTGGCCTTTTCACTGGTTAAATACCAGGTGCCTCGAGTCATCTCTGACTCATGGCGCCCCACGTGGGTTGGAGCAGAACCATCCACAGGGTTCCCAGTCATCTCTGACTCATGGCACCCCACGTGTGTTCTCGGTGGTGCAGTTTTCGATAGATTACTGGTCTGTCTTCTGAGGTGTCCCTGGGTGGACTTGAACCTCTGACCTTTTGGTGAGCAGCTGAGTGCCACAGCCACAGCCACAGCCAGGGCCACCACTGTCTCCAGGGTCTTGCCCCTCCTTGAATGTCCTGGAGTTGGCTCACGTGAGGTGGGGTCACACTGGCTCTCGTCGCTGATCCATGCACTCGGGTTCTGTTTGCACCTGATGTTCCTTCTGAGGGGGTCTGCCAGTATTCTGAGGACTGCACGGGCCGCCCCGTGCCAAGCTCCCGGCATTTGCTGGAATAGGGTTTGCAGTGAGCGGGGTGGGGCAGGGAGGAGGGGCGGGGTGGGAGAAGAGTGACGAGTGTGTGTCCTGCAGCCCTGTGATGGCAGCAGCTTCACCGTGCTGGCCGAGCTGCGCAAGTGTGGACTGACAGACAGCGAGACCTGTCTGAAGAGCGCGACCCTCAGCCTGGCTGGGGGACAGACCGTGAGTGTGCTGGGCCCAGGGTGGGGTGGGGGGACAGGGACAGACCATGAGTGTGCCCGGACTCATAGAGAAGAGGGGATGGGAGGCAGAGGCCCAGACCCCCATCCCTTTGCGAGGTCTGAGTTACTGTCCCCAAACTCGCCAGCAGTGACTTCTCTGCTGAGGTCATTTCCCTATTCTGTAACTTTGGTGTTTCCTGTCCTAATGAAATTCTCACAGAAGATGTAGGAAGGGCTGAGCACCTCCAGCCCACAGGCCGCCTGGTAAAGGTCCCCAGCCCCTCCACAGGCACAGTTCTCAGCCCATAGGGCCAGGTTCAGGGGCAGCAGGGCCTGGAGCCGGCCCGGCCACTGACCTGTGCTGTGTCCCTAGGTCATCGTGATCAAGGCCAGTGGCGAGGTGTTCATCAACCATATCTATACACAGTTGCCCGTCTCTGCAGGTGAGGGCACCCGCAGTGCTGTGCTGCCTGGGGTCCTGCCCCCACACCCCACTGAGGCCCAGCCCTCTGTCTGGGGCCATGCTGCCTGGGGTCCTGCCCCCACACCCCACTGAGGCCCAGCCCTCTGTCTGGGGCCATGCTGCCTAGGGGTCCTACCTTTCACACCCCACTGAGGCCCAGCCCTCTGTCTGGGGCCATGCTGCCTGGGGTCCTACCTTTCACACCCCACTGAGGCCCTGCCCTCTGTCTGGGGCCATGCTGCCTGGGGTCCTACCTTTCACACCCCACTGAGGCCCAGCCCTCTGTCTGGGGCCATGCTGCCTGGGGTCCTACCTTTCACACCCCACTGAGGCCCAGCCCTCTGTCTGGGGCCATGCTGCCTGGGGTCCTACCTTTCACACCCCACTGAGGCCCAGCCCTCTGTCTGGGGCCATGCTGCCTGGGGTCCTACCTTTCACACCCCACTGAAGCCCTGCCCTCTGTCTGGGCCGTGCTCCCTGGGGGACCCGTCCTCACACCCCACTGAAGCCCTGCCTGAAGGTCCCACCCCTCATCCCCCTCTGAAGCCCTACCTGGAGGTCTTACCCCATACACCCCTCTGAAGCCCTGCCCTCTGTGTCCAGGCTATGGTGTTTGGGGTTCCATCCATCCCTCACCCCCCTCTGAAGCCCCGCCCTCTGTGTCCAGGCCGTGGTGCCTGGGGTCCCGCCCCCTCTGAAGCCCCGCCCTCTGTGTCCACAGCCAACGTGACCATTTTCAGGCCCTCGACCTTCTTCGTCATCGCCCAGACCAGCCTGGGCTTGCAGCTGGACATCCAGCTGGTACCCACCATGCAGGTCTTCCTGCGGCTGGCGCCTGCGCTCCGGGGCCTGACCTGTGGTAAGAGGCGCTGCCCCCTCCCTGGGCACTGGGCCCCTTGCCGTCCAGGGTGCCCTGGACCTCACGTCCACCCTCTGGCCACCCCCAGGTCTCTGTGGGAACTTCAACAGCATCCAGGTGGATGACTTCCGGACCATCAGTGGGGTAGTGGAGGGCACAGCTGCTGCCTTCTTCAACACGTGGAAGACCCAGGCCGCCTGCCCCAATGTCAGGAACAGCTTTGAGGACCCCTGTTCCCTCAGCGTGGAGAATGGTACCCACTTGCTCGCCCACCTCCCTGCTGGGCCTGGGGCGAGGGCACCACCCTGCACATAACGGGCCACCCGCTTGAGCAGCGCTTGCTCAGGCCACGAAGGCCCAGGCAGGGCTCCTGCTGGTCACCCTGGCCCTACCTTTGAGGGGGGAAGACTGATAGAGACAGGCAAACAAACCAACTTGTGTATAGAAACCACCATAGACAGTTCCAGAAGAAAATGAACAGAGTTCCACACTGAGGGCCAAAACCACTCTCCTGTGCCTGCTTAGAAACCGGGCGACCTCAAGAGGAGACCCCCACCCTCATAGAGAGAGTTGTCCCGGGCATGTCCATCTTATGAGCAGCCACGGCTTCCGGGTAAAAGAAAGGCCACCTCTTTGTCTACCTCACGTTTGGCCTGACCGTTCACCCCCAGAGTGGGGCTCACCCCCAGAGCGGCAGACCCACCAGTGCCCAGAGAAGAGTCCGCATGGGCTCTGTGTGTCTGTCCACAGTGACAACCACTAATGCCCAGAGCAGGGGAGCAGCTTAGAGGGCTAGGTGGAATGGCATCACAGGGTAAGCAGGGACCTTGCTGACAAGAGGGTGCCTCATGTGGGCGTGGCTGGTGTGGGTCTCAGCCACCCGACGGGCTCCTTCCTGTGTTCACAGAGAAGTACGCACAGTACTGGTGCTCACGGCTGACGGACGTCGAGGGACCCTTCGCCCACTGCCACACTGCTGTGAACCCCGCCACCTACTACTCAGTAAGGCCCACTGCCTGTGTCCCCTCCTGGCTGAGCCCCCACTGTGGGCCACGAAGCCACCTTTGGAGACAGGAGAAGGCACCAGAGCACAGGCAGCTGTGAGGGCTGGAGGTGACCTGCCCTCCCCACATGGCTTTCCTCACTTGACCCTGGCCCTCCACAGGCCACAGCTGGTGGAGCCTGGCACCAAGCCTAGGTCTCTCGTTCCATCTCTCTATCCCGTTCTTCACCTACCCACTCATGCACCATGCACCCACACATTCACCATGCCACATTCACCTATCCATCCACCCACCCATCCATCCACCTACTCACCCACCCACCCATCCCTCCATCCATCTACTCATCTACCCACTCACTCACCCATCCACCCACCCATCTATTCACCCACCCACTCACCCCCCATCTATCTTCCTATCCACTCATCCACCCACCCATCCACCCATCCACCTATCCATCCATCCATTCACCCATCCATCCACCTATTCACCCACCCATCCATCCATTCACACATGTTCACCATGGTTGACTCACACTTCCAGCCCTATACCAGGTACAGAGATTCACTCCAAGCACTCCAAGTGTTTTGGCCAGTGGAGCCCCAGGGTAGCCGTTGTTTGGGTGCTGATCTTACGGAGTTATACTAACAGAAGGCTGTGACCTCCAGGCCTCCCCTCAGCCCACCACAGGAGCCTCCCCTCACCCCAAAAGGCTTGGCTCCAAGATCCACTGTGCAAGTCCTGTAGAAGACCCCCAGTGTCTGGGAGAGGGGTCCTGGAGGACATTGTGAGGCCGATGGGAAAGACCAGGAACTCAGAAAGGAAGACGCAGGGCAGAGTGCCTGGACACGGGCTGGAGTAGGAGCAGGGATGCTCGAGTGAGGTCCCTAACTGCCTGTCAACCCCCAGAACTGCATGTTCGACACCTGCAACTGTGAGAAGAGCGAGGACTGCCTGTGCGCTGCGCTGTCGGCCTACGTGCGTGCGTGTGCTGCCAAGGGCGTGCTGCTGCACGGCTGGAGGAGTGGCGTCTGTGGTGAGTGAGCAGCGCGGTCCGCCACCTGTGCCCCAGGGGCCCGGGCATGTGCCCCATCCTGGCACCAGCACCTCAGGGGCCCAGGCGTGTGTCCCACCCAGACACTGGCAGCTTAGGGGCTGGGGCACATGCCCATGTGCCCCACCCAGCCATCAGCATCCCAGAGGGTCAGACACGCCTCCCTAGGCTCCCCAACCTACTGGGCCACTGGCACCCAAGGGGTTCAGGCATGTGCCCCTCGCCACCCGCCACACCCCACCACACCTGGCTACAGATACCTGGAGGGGTTCAGGCATATGTTCTATTGCCTCAGCGAGGCACCTGGAACCCTGCACAGGAGGAGGGGAAGGCTGCCTTCTGTGGGTGGACCCTGGTGGTGGGGTGCAGAGAGGAGCTAGAAGCTGGAGTGCCTCGTGGGGACCCCACCGAGGACTGCCTGTGTCTGTGCCTATGGGCATTCTGAGTCCCTTCTTCCTGGGGTCTCTGCAGCCAAGCCCACAAGCACGTGCCCCAAGTCCCTGATCTACCTGGATTTCATCAATACCTGTCAGCCCACCTGCCGCTCCCTGAATGAGGAGGACATCACCTGCCACATCAAGTTTGTGCCCGTGGATGGTTGTGCCTGTGCCAATGGCACCTTCCTGGATGACTCGGGCAAGTGTGTGGCGGCTGCCAGCTGCCCCTGCTACTACCGGGGCTCGGCTGTCCCCAGTGGGGAGTCAGTGCACGATGGCGGGGCTGTCTGGTAAGAGCATTCAGCCGGCTGGGTAGAGTCAGAGGGTGGTGCTGGCCCCGGACCAGGCCTCTGAGCACACTCTTCCCACAGCACCTGCACCCACGGGAAGCTGACCTGCATTGGAGGCCACACTCCTACCCCAGGTGAGCTCCTTGGTCTTGGGAAGGAAGGAAAGGGGAGTAAGCCCACAAAATGGACCTGGATTCAACTGTCCCCAAGCCCATCTGGCTCAGCTTCTTAGGACCAGGGGTGACTCATGCTCCCCTAGGCCTCAGTGAGGAGGACAGGGTGGGGGGAGCGCACACAGGGCACACACGTACACACACATACACACTCACACAGGTATACATGTGCACATACCACATATGCATATATGTGCCCACACTCACAGGGCATACACACACATGTACACACTCACACATGTACACACATGCACACACAGGTACACAGATGCACATACTCACATGAATACACATATGCAGGCACATGTCACACATGCATACATGTGCACCTCACAGGTACATATGCACACACAGGTACAGATGTGCACACACCCACACAGGCACCACACAGACACAAGTACACAGATGCACACACGGGCACAGTAACCACACATGTATACATGTGCACACTCACAGGCACACATGCACACACTCAGAGATATCACACGTGCACATGCTCACATAGGTACACATGTGCACACACTCACAGAGGCACTAAACTTGTACGCCCATGCAGCTACACACGCACACGTGCACACACCCACACAGGTACACATGCACACACAGGTATGCATGCATACATACAGACACAGGTACACATTCATACACACATGCACACACAGGCATTACACATGTTCACACAGATACAATGCACAAGCATACACAGGTGCCGCCCATGCACACACACACAAGCACACATACACACATGCGCACACACATGCACACAGGCATCACACATACACTCACACAGCCACACATGTGCGCACACACTCACACTGACACTGCATGTGCACACTCACAGAGGTACACATCCACCCACAGGCACACATGCACACACATGGGCACATGCACACACTCACAGAGGTACCACATATGCATGCTCACATGGGTACACATGCACACATGCACACACATGCACGCACAGATACACACATGCATGCATATGCACATAGTCACACACGTACACAAATGCCACCCATAGGCACACACAACTACCACACATGCACCATGCCACACATGCACACACATGCATATACTCACACAGGCATACAGCCACAAGGATGCTCACATAGCACAAACAACCCAAACACACATCAACCCACCACCAAAATATAAAAAAATGCAAGCATACATACGTACACACCAACACTCACTTGCTTATGAGATTCTAACCCAAGCCCGCTGTGGCCCCAGGGAGGAGCCGTGACCAGTGTTGTTGCTCCTGTGACTGTGTGGGCGCTGGCTAGGCCACAGTGGGCATGGCAGGGCTGGGCTGATGTGCCAGTCTGCCATCTGCTGCCCTGGGGGCCCCTTCAGTTTTCATGGGAGCAGTTTCTGCCTCTAAATTAACTAGGGCTTCCTGGCAACCCACTGGGGGTTTGCCTGATCACAGTGACCACCTTTATATGGCCAACAACTCCACCTGACCCCAAGGACTTCTCTGAATAGGTCAAAGGTTAACCTTTAGCCTCCCACCTCTCTCCACACCTGGTGGTGGTGTTGGGACACCCTGTGCAGCAAAACGGGTGAGTGGGTGGGTCAGGTCCCCTGAATGGTACCCTTCCCCCAGTCTGCACTGCACCCATGGTCTACTTCGACTGTCGGAATGCCACACCTGGAGCCTCAGGGGCCGGCTGTCAGAAGAGCTGCCACACCCTGGACATGGCCTGTGTAAGTGCACCAGCCCTGTGGCCCCCGCCCACCCCTCACACATGCGTGGCCCCACCAGAAGCGGCGGGGGTGGGGGACTCACGAGCAAGAAGGACCCTCAGGGCCACACCGTGATCTGCAGAGGCCCCAACCAGGCATGGGTCCTAGGGCACCATGTGCCAGCCCCTGGGCTCCCCACCTCCTTGCTTGCTGGGCTCACTGCACCTGGGGCCCTAGCACAGCCCACCCAGTGGGCACAGGGGGCTTTTGCTTCTCTCTGAGGACACAGTGTGCTCTCTCTGGCCCTTGTCCACCCTGCCCCTGGCCTCACTGCCTGTGTGTCCACCCTGCCCCTGGCCTTATCAGCTGTGTGGCCATTGCTCCTACAGTACAGCCCCCAGTGTGTCTCCGGCTGTGTGTGCCCTGATGGGCTGGTGTCGGATGGTGAGGGTGGCTGCATTGCGGTGGATGACTGTCCGTGTGTGCACAATGAAGCCAACTACAAGCCAGGCCAGACTATGCATGTTGGCTGCAACACCTGGTATGTGTGGGTGCGGCCAGTCCTCGGGGGGTGGCTTCTGGGTCTGGGAGGTGGGCAGTGTCACTCAGAAGCCGAGCAGGCCTCTAGAAAGAGGTCCCTAGGACTCATGGGCAGATGACTGGATAGGTGTCACCACAGCCTGGCCAGTGAGCAGGATCCCTCCTGTCTCCTGGGGTGCTGGTGCCTGCCAGCCCCTCCTCGGTTTGGAGCCTATACCCCAGTGAGGCGCCGAGGAGTTCCGGGCAAGCTGGGTCCCCAGCGTGCATATCCCTGCAGCCCTGTGACTCTGCCTCCTGCCTCGTAGTACCTGCAAGAACAGGATGTGGCAGTGCACCCAGGAGCCCTGCCTGGCCACCTGCACCGTGTACGGGGACGGCCACTACATCACCTTTGATGGGCAGCGTTTCAGCTTTGATGGGGACTGCGAGTACACGCTGGTGCAGGTGCGCTGTGCTCCCCAGGCCTTGCAGCAGGACCCCAGGCTCACAGCACCCCTCCCCAGGCTCACAGCACCCCCAGCTCAGCAACCCCCCAGCTCAGCAATCCCCCCCACGGCTCAACAACCCCCAGGCTCAGCGTCCTGCCCTCTCCCCTTGGGTGCCTAGTGGTGTGGGGGTCAGTCTCCCACTTGGCCCCTGGAAGGTGGGGGGATCTGGAACAGCCTTTTGCTTCCCCAGGACCACTGTGGCAGCAACAGCAGTGGCCAGGGCTCCTTCCATGTTGTCACTGAGAACATCCCCTGTGGCACAACAGGGTCCACCTGCTCCAAGGCCATCAAGATCTTCCTCGGGGTGAGTAGGGGGCAGGGCTGTTCCCGGTGGGTGAGTGGGTGGGGTGGGAAATGGGGGGAGCCAGGGGCTACTCTGGATAAGCTATCCTTGGTGCGGTGGGTGAGGGGCCAGGTGACCTCAGAAGGTTGCTGCTGGGGCAGGCATCCTGGCGAGGTCTGAGCCCCGGCCCCTCTCCTCGGCAGAGCTATGAGCTGAAGCTGAGTGGCGGGAAAGTGGAGGTGATAGAGAAGGGGACTGGGCAGGCGGTGCCCTACTCCATCCGCCAGATGGGCATCTACCTGGTGGTGGACACTGATGTTGGCCTCGTGCTCCAGTGGGACAAGAAGACCAGCCTCTTCCTCAGACTCAGCCCCGAGTTCAAGGTCAGCCGGTGCCCAGGACACCCTCCTGGGATGGGGCTGCCTCTTGGAGGGGGAGGCAGAAGACCTACTGGGAACACAGGAGGTTCAGGTGGGAGAGAGGGAGAGACAGAAAAAGAGGGAGAGAGAGACAGAGAGAGAGGGAGAGACAGAGAGAGAGGGAGAGACAGAGAGAGAAAGGGAGAGATAGAGAGAGAGGAAGAGAGAGATACATGGACAGAGAGAGATACAGGGACAAAGAGAGGATGAGAGAGAGAGAGAGAGAGAGAGAGAGAGAGATGAAGGGACAGAGGGAGAGAGAGACAGAGACAGAGAGGGAGAGAGAGACAGAGAGAGAGGGAGAGAGAGATACACGGACAGAGAGAGAGGGAGAGAGAGATACATGGACAGAGAGAGATACAGGGACAAAGAGAGGAAGAGAGAGAGACAGAGAGAGATGAAGGGGCAGAGGGAGACAGAGACAGAGAGGGAGGGAGGGATGAAGGGACAGAGAGGGAGGGAGGCAGAGTGAGACAAGCAGAGGGAGACTGCAGGAGCCCGCGCCCCCCCAGGAAGGACGCCCGCCAGGGTAGCCCTCTGCTGTCTCCCAAAGAAACCCACTTGAGCTCCACCCTGAGGCTGTGAACCCCACTCTGAGCTGACTGGCAGGGTGGCCAGGCCCCCACCAGGCACAGTCAGAGGGAAGCCCTGCACCCTGCACCCTGCGCCTTCCACCCTGCACCCACCTGCCACCATGAGCTGGCACGCAGTGAGGAGGCAGATGTAAAGCCCACTTGGTTTTCGGCCTGAGAGCCCATGGTCTCTGAGGGCAGCACAGGCTGGCCCAGCCCGGTCGGAGCTTTGGGGGGACACTGGGGACCCCTCCCCTTCAGACCTCTCCCTCCCAGGCCTTCCTGGGGTCATTGTGGTGCCCTTCCTGGTCACTGGGCTCACGGCTTCCACCTGTGCGCAGGGGAAGGTGTGTGGACTGTGTGGCAACTTTGACGGCAATGCCATCAACGACTTCACCACGCGGAGCCAGTCCGTGGTGGGCGACGTGCTGGAGTTTGGCAACAGCTGGAAGTTCTCCCCATCCTGCCCAGACACCCGCGCACCCAGGGACCCTTGCACCACCAACCCGTACCGCAAGTCCTGGGCCCAGAAACAATGTAGCATCCTCCTTGGTGCCACCTTCACCGCCTGCCATGCCCATGTACGGAGCCAAGGGGACCCTGGACCTGCCATCGTCTGTGGGGAGGAAGGGCCCAAGGCACATGGGGGGATGTGAGAGCGGAAGGGACAGACATTAGGGCGGGGGTCCAGGCAGCTGGAGCTGGGGGACCAATGTGGAGCACCTACAGATTGCTTACCTGGGCCAGGACCCCTGCCGGCCAATGGGTAGGAGAGTGGGCAGAGCCTACACGTGCAGACCAATGAGGTCTGGGAGCGCCCCGGCAGCCGGAAGCCCTCTGGACTGCAGTACATTGCTGGGGTCGGGAGAGTTTTGGGGTACAGTGCTCAGCATGGTGTCCCTGCCCGCAGTCACCTAGGGTCCTGTGACTGCGTTCCCCAAGCTCCAGCGGACACCAGTCAGGCTGATCGCCAGCCGCATTCCTACCCCAAGGAGCCGGGGAAAGAGGGGGGCCTTGCTAGCACCCCTCCTGTCCCCTGCAATCCGAAGCCTCCTTTCCCCGCAGGTGGAGCCCACCAAGTACTACGAGGCCTGCGTGAGCGACGCGTGCGCCTGCGACTCGGGTGGCGACTGCGAGTGCTTCTGCACCGCCGTGGCCGCCTACGCGCAGGCCTGCCACGACGCAGGCGTGTGCGTGTCCTGGCGCCGCCCCGACGTCTGCCGTGAGTCGAGCTCTGTCCGCGGTGCTGAAGGGCCGGGGAGGGGGCGGTGTGGTGGCTCAGTACGTCAGGCTGATGGGAGGAGTTGTTGTTTTTGTTGTTGTGTGCCGTGGAGTCCACCCGACTCATAGCGACCCCTCCTTGGGTTTGCGAGGCGGTATCTCTATGGAAGTAGATTGCCCAACCTTCCTTCCGAGGAGTGGCTGATGGGTTTGAACTGCCAACCTTCTGGTGAGCAGTCAAGTGCCTTAGCACTATGCCACCAGAGCTCCTGATGGGAGGGGTTGACAGGAAAAATTAAATTGGGGGCAGGGGTGCTGCTGAAGGGGGAGCACAGCCCTGGGGAACATTCTGTAGCTAGAGGGGCTGGCGGAGCCTCTCCCAGCCCCCAGCGAGATGGAGCCTGAGCTGGTGGGCCTAACTGGGGAGCCCCTAACAGCACCCCTGGGAAGCCATTGGAGACCCCTGATGTAGTCCCCCTGCCTACACGCCGTATCATGGGTGGGCACTCTGAGGCTCCCCCCAAGGCCACGTCTGGAGGCACAGGAGAGGGAGATGGCTCCAGGCACCTGGGGGCTGTCCCAGACTTGGGCTCAGGGGATGCTGTGCCCTCCCTGGAGCCATCTGTCTGAGGTCTCTGAGGGGGCTTCAGGGCTGCGGAGCTGGGTCCAGCGGTCCTCTGAGTGCTCCCTCCCGCCCTCAGCCCTGTTCTGCGACTACTACAACCCCCGTGGGGAGTGTGAGTGGCACTACCAGCCGTGCGGGGCTCCCTGCATGCGGACCTGCCGGAACCCCAGCGGGCGCTGCCTGCATGATCTGCACGGCCTGGAAGGTGGGTCTCGGCTGCTCTGGGGTGAAGGGGGCGTGTCCTTCTTACATGCTAGAGCCTCTGGGATCTGAGTTGGGGTCTGTTCTGAGGTTCTTGTGATCTGGGGCCTGTGGCATCCTATGTGGACCCTTAGTTGGGCTGACCCCTCATAAGCCTTTAACAGCCTTGGCAGCTGCAACCCCCCCCCCCAGCCTTGCAATTGTGGTCCAGGGCTGGGTGGGGCTGGGACTTAGGTCTCTGACCCCACAGGATGCTACCCCAAGTGCCCGCCAGAGGCTCCCATCTTTGACGAGGATGAGATGCAGTGTGTAGGCCAGTGCCCGACCCCGCCACCCCCGCTGCCCTGCCGCGTCAGGGGCAAGGACTACCGGCCTGGTGCCTCGGTGCCCTCCAATGAGAACTGCCATACCTGGTGGGCCACTGGGCAGAGTGGGCGGGGCCTGGAGCACATGGTGGGAGGGGGGAAGGGCCACCCCCATGTGTCCTCACCCCCAACCATCCCCCTTCTGTTTCAGTGTTTGCACAGAGAATGGTGTGGCGTGCATCTATGATGCCGAGGGTGAGTAGGGGCAGCCCTCCTGGGTGTGGGGTTCCAGGGTCCGTGCCACGCCGCTCCCCCAGGCACATTCCCATCCACTCCCTGCAGCGTGCTTCTGCACCTATGGTGGGCAGCGCTTCCACCCTGGGGCTGTCATCTACCACACGGCTGATGGCACTGGTTCCTGCATCTCTGCTCGCTGTGTGGCCAATGGTACCATTGAGAGGAGCATCGAATTCTGTGACACCAGCACTGCACCCACTACCACCTTCTCCTTTTCCACCAGCTCAAATGGTGAGGCAGCCTGTGGCTTTTGTGGGGGAGTGGTTGTCAGCAGAGAGGCCCTGGGCATCACCAAGACTTGTTCCTGGTACTGACCACGGAGCTACCTGCTGGATGCTGTGTTCACAGTCAGGGTGCTGAGGGGTGGGCAGGGGCACGGGGATGACCCTGTCATCCTCTGCAGTCCTCTGCTGCCAGAGGTGGGCTCTGGGGGCCAGGGCTGAAGGTCAGCAGGGGAGGGCTGGAGCCCCATATCCTGGGCAGCTTCTGGGAGCAGACTAGAATTTGTGGGGACCTGGGACACACACCTGGGGAGTCCCTCCCCTCTGCTTACCTCACACACACGTGACTGAGTCCTTGTCCTCTTCTAATGGGGGGTATCTGAGAGCTCTCAGAGCTCTGTTGACACCCCAACAGTAAACTGTGCATTGACACTGGGGAGGCTCCCTTCTCTTGAGTGAGAACAGCTCACCTGTGCACTCAACCCACATGCATGCCACATCTTGGGGAGCGGGCAGGTTCCTGCTTCCACCAAGCTCCAGTGATGGCTAGACAGATGGGCAGAGGACATAGCCCTGCCTGACACAGGCTGTGAAGAACCAACAAGGCCCAACTGGGTGGCGTGGCTCTCCCCAGGCCATGGCCCCAGCTGAGTGCACCTCCTCTTCTTTCTCCCACAGGGGGGAGTTCCCCTCGAACCACAGTGAGCACGGTTACCAGCAAGACCCTCTTGACAGCTCCAATCAGCTCCCCAACATTGACACCTGCCCCAGGCTGTGGGGAGCTGTGCCAGTGGACCCCATGGCTGGATGTCAGCCACCCGGGACAGGGAGCGGACAGTGGAGACTTCGACACGCTGCAGAACCTGCGTGCTCATGGGTTCCGAGTATGCCAGCGGCCCCGGGAGGTGAAGTGCCGGGCTGAGGGCATGCCCAATGTGCCACTGGAAGCCCTGGGGCAGCACGTTGAGTGTAGCCGGACGGTGGGGCTGATCTGCTTCAATAAGGACCAGACCTCAGGGCTCTGCTATAACTACCAGATCAGAGTGCTGTGCTGCTCCCCCGTGACCTGCCCCACCCCCAGTGGCAGCTCACCCCTTACCTCCTCTGCCATCTCCAGCACAACCCAGACTACAGCTTCGTCCAAGACCAAGGTCATTCCGTCCAAGACCACTCCAGGCCCTGAGCCCAAAACCAGCACTACAGCTAGCACAGTACCCACCCCGGGCACCTCCACACCCACTCCAGGCACCTCCATGCCCACCCCGGGCACCTCCACACCTACCACAGCAAGTGTCTCGGCTCCCAGCCCAGCACCAACAGCCACTACAGATAGGACGCCCCCTGGTGAGGTCAGCACACCCTCTTGTTTACAAGACAGGTGTAAGTGGACCAAGTGGCTTGATGGCAGCTATCCTGAACCTGGGAGAAACAGTGGCGACTTTGACACCTTCCAGAACCTGAGAGCCAAAGGATATCATATCTGTGAGCACCCCAGAGAGGTGGAGTGCAGGGCAGAAGAGTTCCCAGAAACGCCGCTGGCCCTGCTGGGGCAGCAGGTGATCTGCAGCAAAACTGAGGGTCTGCTCTGCCTGAACAAGGATCAGCTGCCTCCCATTTGCTACAACTACGAGATCCGCCTCCTCTGTTGTGATGTTGTGGACGTGTGCGTAAATGTCACTCACTCACCTGTGACAACACATGTGGTTCCTCCCTCTGTGCCCACAACCACCACAACCCTGACACCTGCAACCACTCCCACCCCTCCACCCACAGCCACCACAACTATTTCTACCACTGTGACCCCTGTCTCCACAACCACACCCCCCGTTTCTACAACCATCACACCCCCTGTCCCTATAACCATCACACCCCCTGTCACAACCACCACAATCCCTGTCACCACCACAACCCCTGTCACAACCACCACAACCCCTGTCACAACCACCACAATCCCTGTCACCACC